CCCGCTAAGTTAGTGCTTAAGCAGATGAATTTCCTGATCCCTTTGCTACACAGCTACTCACACTGTAAGGCTGTCATAGATGGTGCAGGGTTGGGAAAAAGCGGCCAAATGGAGGACAGAGACATGTTTTGCTCAATACAGCATAAACAACAAGCTGAATGAAACTCATCAGAGTATCTCCTATACCCTTTTTTCCCTGTCTCCTAGTACCACACAGCAGAGTTGTTCTAGGCTGCCTTTTAACCAAATTTAAAATTACAAGAGAAACTATTTATAAATTAAACCTACTGAAATATTTGAAACTAAACACTGAAATACAAAGTTAAATCGCTGTTACTTATTTAACACAACAGAATAATTAGAGACTATTTCAGCTCCATTAAAGAGCATGTCAAAAACTCATTTTTTCTTTATTACTTACTTATCATCCCACTAAGTAATGCACTTAGTGTCTGACGTTAACCAAATTTTAAGCAACAAACTAAGTTAGGACTTACATGCCCAAAATCTATTCTCAGATTAATATTTACAGACTTTTCAAATTACATAGTTATAGAAAGACATTATATTTTCCTACCTTAATTCCAGTATTATGCTAAAGTCAATTACTTTTTGCAGTACAGGCTTGCTGTAGTATCCCATTTTTAAATATCCTTGTTTTTTTCTGAAAGTATGATATCTGAATCTATGGAAGTCTATTTAAATTGTTCTAAGTTATTTATAGTGGAAATATTGAATCATAAAACAGGAGGATCATGTCAATTTATTTTACAATCCCTTGTTGAGAAATTCCTTATATATTGCCTGTTAACTACATACAGATTGGTTAACACAAGATACTTCCAGTACAACAACATGATTTAAACATGCAATTAAGTATTTGTCCTCAACAAGAACTGTCTTTCAAAAATTTTTAATATTTTAAATAAAGATATGAATATTGGCCTTGAAAGTGAAGCCCGTACAACCACATTTGCACTTCATATATTGAGAGATACAAGTGACTTAAACATGTTTTTTACAACTTCTCCATTCTGTTTATAATGCAGCTACGGAATCCTGAAATAGATTCCATTTGCCTGGTACATCAGCAAGACCTGTCCACTAACAATCTTCATCAGAGAGAGGCTTTAAAAAAAAAAGAAAAAAGAAAAAAGAAAAGAAAGGCAGCATTTCTAAAACACTATTCTGATTCTCTACAGCTCTTAGCTAGAAGTCACACACAACTGTACCAGAAACAGCTTAAAAAACATACATCAGCAGACACAGACTCAGGGAGTTCCTTGACATTTCTGCAATCGCTTTCCAGACCAGAGCAACAGTGGGCACGATAGTCCAGGTAGCACTGGCAGGGCTGGCCTACCCTCCCCCCCGCCCCCAACCAAAAGAGATGCAACCAACAGTAAACTTATAGGTAGCATCAAGGAGGCACGAAACGCGTCCCAGAAAGGGCCTGCTCACGGCAGCGGGCAACCGCAGCGCGTCCCACGCAGCCCCA